GGTATTGAATATCAGATTCACTTCAGTGCATTTCTCCTCTGAGCACCTGCGGCCCTGTTTGCTCTCCAGTGCCTTCAAAGGGCTAGTTTTATTATTTATTCATTTATTTTGGCTGGGCCGTGCGGCATGCAGGATCTTAGCTCCCCAACCAGTGATCGAACCCGTGCCCCTCTGCAGTGGAAGCACAGAGTCTCAACCACTGGGCCACCAGGGAAGTCCCAAAGAGCTAGCTTTTTAAAACTTGTTGTTGGCAGGATGTTTAATCTGATAAAACCACTCATATCTGGAAACGGAAGTCCCGTTCCTTGCATTTCTAGTAATTACGATTGGCCGCTACAATTTAGTTTGATGCACAGTCCTTAAACAGTGCTTTTAACTCTAAATTTTGCTTTGCCTCATACTGTCATGTTTTCTTTTTGTCTGCATTTTCCACTTTTTCTATTTGTTTTCAGCCTTTGTCATTTTTATGACTTTCATATAAACAGCATATTGCTGGGTTTTATTTTCAACCCCAGTCTGACCATGCCTTTTAAAGAGAATCTAGATGTAGTGTAGCAACTTACATCCTTTCTTTTCTTGGTTTGGGGGTGGGGGTGGATTAGGGGAAACTCTCTCTACCCCAAAGCTCAGAAATAAGTGAAAATTAGCACTTGGGAGACACATGGAGAAAACCGAGTTAGAAAGTCTAACCAGAGATGTGTGACGAAATGGGCCTGCTAACCCCCTCACTCCTGACTCAGCTGCATACCTAACCACTAGCAGAGCTGGACAGCTCACACAGACAACAGACCAGAACACACTCCTCTGTAGGCCAGCAAATGCAAGGAAGAGCACATGAGGCTCTTGAAACAAAGTGTAGATCCTCTCCGAATTAACCAGATAAATCACCGTAACCTCCCCTGAGACTGAGAGATGAGGGAAAGGGAGGCCAAGAGTGTTAACTCTAGCATTAGGATTCCACAGAGAAACCTGAGACCCGCAACTGCCCCTCACGTTGCTCAGTGCTTCATCCTTTTCACCTATTAGACTTGGCCATTAAGCCAGGGTCAGTAGCTGGGCCCCTAAGAAGGTGCTGGGCCCACTTTCATGCCACTCCCTCAATGCTGCCCCTTTATTATCTTAATGTAACAAGAGCTTGGTGAGAGCCTTAGAAGAGACAGTAAATATTGCCCCCTCCCCCACCGGCCTTTATCCCTCCAAAGCATCCCTCTGGGAAATAAACCACAGCAAATGGATTCAAAATGCTCATTTTATTAATGAGCGTGTCTTGAAGGACATGGCTTGGATGCTCCCTAATACTTAGCCCCTAAGTTAAATGCACCCACCTGCTCACAGGAAGCACTCAACAAACACAGGCCTCTCCCCACACAAGGACAAAAGCTGCCTGTATGAAAAGGGCAATGCAGAAGGCACCTTCTCCATGGGCAGGCAAAGCCACACTGGATTCCAGAAAACACTAACCCAAGCATGCCCCAAGATCATGTTCCCAAATCCCTCTTCTGCTGGAGAGGAATGGCAATTCCATGACGGCTTATGTGACATGGGGAATGAGTTCTCCTCAGCAGTGTTTATTTTTCTCCTTTCCTTTATCTTAAGGGGAAAAAAAAGGTATAAATTACATATAATAAAACGCATAGGTTTTAAGTGTAGAGTGCGGTGAGTTTTGACAAATGTCTACACTCGTGTAACCACGATCACAAGCAAGACGTAGATTTCCATATTCCTTTATTAACAATCCCTCCAACCCGCCTTCTCCTTCAGGACCAAACAATGTCCTGATTTTCAGCACCGTCCATCAGTCTTGCCAGTTTTAAGCTTCATATAAAGACATACAGTACGTACTCTCATGTGTCTTGCTAAACGTGTTTTTGAGATTCATACAACATGCTGCATTTATAATAGTTCATCCCTACTTATTGCTGAGAGATATTCTATTCTACTAACATACTACAACCTGCTTACCCATTTTCCTGCTGTTGGACATATTTTTGATCTTTCATTATTATGAACAAATTGACAACAAACATCTCTTATGTCTTGTGGACATATATTGAGTTCTACTAGCTCCACAGTTTCATCAATATCTGGGTACTCTTGGTCTTCTTAACTTTGGCCATTCTACTGGATGAGAAATGGTAGCTTTTTGCGATTTTAATTTGCATCCCCTAGTGACTAATGCCTTTAAACAACTTCTCATGTTCTTATCGGTCACTCGTGTATCTTTGTGATGATCTGTTCAAGTCTCTTGCCCATTTATTAAGTTGGGTTTTACTTTTTTCCTGGCAGTCCATGGCCTACCTGCTCATTTTTTTTTTTTTTTTTGCGGTACGCGGGCCTCTCACTGTTGTGGCCTCTCCCGTTGTGGAGCACAGGCTCCGGACGCGCAGGCTCAGCGGCCATGGCTCACGGGCCCAGCCGCTCCGCGGCATGTGGGACCCTCCTGGACCGGGGCACGAACCCGTGTCCCCTGCATCGGCAGGCGGACTCTCAACCACTGCGCCACCAGGGAAGCCCACCTGCTCATTTTGAAGGACAGAAAAATGTCATTTTGATGGAAGCCCCACGTCTTTTCCCTTATGATTCGCGCTTCTTGTCCTAAGAATTCTTTGCCCATTCCAGAGCTGATTAGGTATTTTTTTCTTCTGGAAGCTTGTATAAATGCTTATGGTTTTAGACCTATCATAGATTTTGTTTTGTTTTTTGGCCGTGATATGTAGCTTACATGGGATCTTAGTTCCCTGACCAGGGATTGAACCCGGGCCCTGGGCAGTGAAAGCACGGAGTCCTAACCACTGGACCTCCAGGGAGTTCTCCCTACCATCTATTTTGTATTAGTTTTTGTATATGGTGTTGGAGAGGAGTCAAGGTTGACTTCCTCGCATACAGATATCCAGCCGCTGGTTGAGAAGACTTTCCTTTCCCATGTAACTGCCTCGGCACTGTTGCTGAAAATCAGCTCACCGTGCACTTGTGGGGTCTATTTCTGGATTCCACTCCACTTCACTGATCTACTTCGGCGCTCAGCAAACTTCTGGAGGGCCAGGCAGTAAATAGTCCGCAGGCCACGTGGCCTCTGTTGTAACTACTCAACCCTGTCAGTGAATCATGAGAGCGGCCGGTCGAGGGTCAGGTCCGGGAGCAAGAAGGCGCATTCCCACGAGCCCCGCTACTCCTGTAAGCTTATCAAGCGCACCTACGCTGGCCTGCTCTGAAACTGTCTTGCAGCTGTCAGGCTTTGTCCATCGCTACACCTGTAACATTTCTACTGTTCTACTGGCTATTAAACACTTGATGTTTCATAGTCTCCCCTCACTGCTCTACTTTGAAATCAAACTGACAACTTCTAAGGAAAAAAAATACCAGAAAGATTTGTTTGGGAGTGCACTGTAACAGCTAGTATTAACTGAGCATTTACGCAGTCGAGCACTGTTCTGTTATATATGTAAATGGGTTACACCTGATCTTCACAACCCTGCCACCTGCTGGCTGAGCATCCTTGCACAAGACTATTTAACTTCCGTGTCCCTCTTATGCACGTGTGAAATGAGGGTAACTATCTATCTCACAAAATTGCTGTGAAAACAAGTTAATGCACATAAAGCTTTTAGAACAGTGCTTTAAGAACTCAGTTTTCTGTTAACAAGTGGAGAATTGTACAGGAGAAACAAAACCAAACCACTCAGTGCCTTACAGAAGGCAGTATGAAACAGTCAGCTGAGGGGTCCCTGCCTTTAAGCATTTAGAGCCCACCTAGGGTAATAAATTCAAAGGCAGCACTGTGTCGTCTGTTCATTATGTAAGTAATGAACGATTGGTACAGACGGTAAGGGCAAAGCCAGCACGCACTGACTGCTGAAAACGAATGGCCGAGCCAAAAAGGTATCAGTAAGGACGGGAACAGGATCCAGAGAGAAGAAACCGAATCGAAGGAAAGAATGAACACCGGCTATGGAGCGAGACAAGGAACACGACTCCTGGCCTGTCACCGTGGTGCAAAAGCAGTGGACGATGGACAAACGAAGGGACATAGCTCTGTCCCAAGAAAACCACCTGTAAACACAGGTGTTGGGCCAGAGCTGGCACGTGGGAGGTAGCCGACCCTGAAGCTGAAAAATGACTAAATCCATCTGCCTGGAGTGAAGGTGCTTGAGTTTTCTGGAGGTTCAGCTTGCAAACAGAACCACAGGCTCAAAGCCAGGATTTAGAAAGGCCAGTAGGTGACCTTAGGGGGTTGAGAAGTGAGGAGACAGCACATACTAACATTTATGAAGTGTTTACAGTAAGGCAAGAACTGTTCTATGCGCTTTAGATCCATGAACTCGTGGCTGTGGTTTCCCCATCGGACAGAAAAAGCAGCTGAGACAAAAAGAAGCTCTCCATCCTGGGTGGGTGGGGCGGCCTGTGAGTGAATGCCAGCCCCGGCCCGGAGCCCATGGCTCTGAGCGCTCAGCGGGGCCTGCGGCATCCGGGGGCCCAGAGGTGTGTGCCCAGACTAGCACAGGGGGACGTGGTGACTAGCTGGCTCTGGGGCATTGATAACAGCCAGGGGGACACTTGCTTATGCGAACAGACGGAGGAGGGAAAAGGAGCAGCTGTGACACAGCATCACGTTCTAAACACCACTATGGAACACCTGAGAAATTTTGCCTCCAAAGCTACCTCCTGGGGCTGGATGCCAAAACCCCAGGCTGGGGAGGTGTTATACACGGAGGACAGACACAGCACAAGCTCGCAGCAGATCCCCTGAACAAAGTGCACAGAGCCCCTGCGCGTCGGGCTCTGGCTGCTCCTGCCATTTGGGCAGGACAAGCCCCCGAGCCCACGGACAGCAGGCTCTTTCCTGGGTGCAGCTGCTCGGCCTCCCCAGCGCAGGATCTGGTGCATGCAGCACGAGAGCTGGTGTCAGGAAGCCTGACCCGTCAAAAACCAATGGTGGTTCTCTCATTAAGGCCCCACACCCTGTCTAGTTATTAAAGCCCAAGCAAGGTACAAGAGAAGACTTCTAGAAACAAAGAATCAGGCTTTATTTTGTTGTCGTTTTTTAATACAGGTATGGTGTAGTAGACATCTGTTAGTCTCGCATTCAGTATGGCCAACCCACAGAAATGAAAGTAGAAACTCAGTGAGCTTGTGCTCGCTCCTGCCCCCGGGGCTGACACCCTCCCACCCCCAACAGCCTTTGTGCTGCCCACCCGTGCCCCCTCCCTGCCACGCGAGTGGAGCAGAACAAAACACCACCCCAAGGAGAAACCCTGAGTGCCCTTTCATCAGCAGTGGGTGGGATGAAATAAGACACCGTGTTTACCTTGGGTGGGATGGAGAAGCCAAGCAAATCCAGACGGTACAGGGGCAGCGCGTGCACCCCTGGAGCCAAGTCGGTGCCCACAAAGCTCTCCACCAGGCGAGACAAGAGCGTGCCGTCCTTCCACAGTCCCCGAGGTCCGGGCCGCATCAGTCAGCATCCTTGAGACAAGCGAAGGGCGCCCTGTCCTCTGGCAGTGCTAGAGTCCTGGGGAGAGCACCCGAGGACAGTGTCTTCTGAGAGGAGCTCCCAACAGAAAGGGTCCCTGAGGAGGCGCGCAAAGGCCAGGCACAGCAGCCCTGCCGTCTGTCCCAGGGGCACTGCCGACTCCACTGTCCTTGAGGGCTAGGTCTGCCTCGGGAAACCTCATGAAAGGTTTCCACACCATTTACAATGGAAAAGTAAATCAGAAATAAGGCATTAGACATTTGATGTTTTATTTCCACACGCAATGTAACGTTTAGGCACGCTGCTTGGGATGCTACTTCTAAAAAAAATCGTTGGCCATTTTTCAGAATATCCTTTTGGTTTTAAATACTGGTCAGGAAAAACAAATGATGTAAAAATACGTGAATAATTTTCTATTACAGAAATGAAAAACTGATTTGCATCTAAAAGTGCAGGAGGTGAAGTAATTTAACCCTTTCACCAGACAATATGGCAATATACAATATATTGCTTCAGCTGTTTGAGAAGGCTGTGATGTATTTTTATACTGACATAGAAAATTATAAATTACACTGAATTAGTATCCATAATCACTATATATGTACACAAACCAGTTCTTAAAAAAAAATACACTGGTTTAGAATTTACGAGTGAAAACCTCACAAGGTACAGTAAAACAATTAACATGCTCAGGTGCCGGATTTTGATTTCTAGTTTAAAAACACTAGCCTGTAAAATGAACGCACTCTAATTCCATTAGCAGCACGAGCATTTTTCCACTGACTTGCCTAATATGATTTAGGTATGTGAGATACGCAGATTGCTCTGAAACTTTCATTGGTGTTGCTTGTTAACAAGGTAAATTTTGGTGAATGGGTTAAAAGGCAGATGAACAACCAAAACAAAACAAAAAACAAAAACAAAGAAACCCCCAAACCACAAGCCATGTACACTCCAAATATTCTAGTGTTTCACCTGTAGGGATAATCAGTTCAAGCAAACAAGACTTTAACAGAACATATGGCTTTACAATAACATCAATTTATCAACTAAGTTGTAGCAATAAATACTTAATCTCTACCAATAGACTTACATTTTTTGATCCGCTTTAAACAATACAGAAAACAGTTACCAATCAAAAACTGGTTATAAAAAGAACACCAAGTATTTCTTATTCAAAATCACTTTTGTAAGTTAGAACAACCAAAATAACACTTAGAGGGCATCTCAATCCTATAACTCCTCGCCAACCTGGAAGAAAAATGAATTCAGAACTTTGTACAAGGTGAAAAATGTATGAAAACTGCCTAATACTTTGGTCACACTAATAATTGTCAAATAGTTATGTTTCAAATACAATAGATCTGTGTATTCACTTTTATAAAACTATTCTTACAGCCATTTTAACTATAGTATTACTACTATTATTACATGGGTGGCAAGATCTTATTTCACAGGCTACCCATTATTTAGAACAATACAATATAAACATACGCAAAAATTCTTGGTATCTGTCAATGTGCAATATTTGTACACTTCTGGGTTTCTCTGTACAACGTCTTAGACTCTAGAATATAAAGGTTGCTGGTCCTGATCCCTTGCAGAGTGAGTGCAGCAGCGGTGGCTCGGCGGGCTCCCGACGCAGCCCCGGACCCCGCACGGTGGCGCCTGCGGTCCCCGGTCAGCAGCAGCAGCAGCGGCAGCGGAGCTCGCTCATCATACGGGGCCGTTAACCGCCGCATCGCCCGGCATGCTCGACTGCTCAGTCCTGCGGGGTGAGACCAACTCCGTGTAGCTCCCCGAGGGTGGGGAGCGTTTATTTGAACATTGTCTACGCAGTGCCTAGCACAAAGCCTGCACTCAGCAGTTACTTCATGAAATGCTTCTTAAATGCATTTTCCTAAAGCTCCAGAAAATCTAACTGAACGGCTCTAAGCTTCAGCTCCGGTGAACTAAGCACTTAGCAAGGGCTGCAGAGGAGCAGGGGCTCCGTGAGACCCACCACGCCTCAGCCTCTCAGAAGCACAGGGACAGACTGGTCAGTGGTCCCCGAACCTTCAGGAGCTATTTGCTCATCCCTCCTTCAAAACAGCTCGTTCTCTGTTCTGTATATTGCAATCCATATAAAATTTCACTTGATAAAAATAGGATTTTGCTACTGGGGGCTGGGGGCGGGGAACGACAAAAGTTTGTAAAAGGACCAACTTTGAGAACAAAGGTGTGCACTTTAACACGTGCTCCCCCGAAGCAAACATCAGGGGTGATGCTGTGGGGGGCGGGGGTGGGGGAGAGGGGGATATGAAAGGAACAAAGTGGTGACAGGGTACCCAGGACCTTCCTGCCGAACTACAGTGTGACCTACGTCTTATGAACGAGACTTGGGAAAAGATGTTTAGAGCTGAAATTGGGAAGCACAAGCACTCTTGAATCGGCACTCCAACTTTACAGAGTGCTTCAGACCCCTGCTAATCCTAACAGAGACCCACGAAGTTAGCTCCACTCACACAGCAGACTCTACCTACGTTCCATGGTGTCTCAATGTATCACAGAGACACAGGCACCAGCATTCTGGAACCAGACACAGCTGGGCACATGCCCTGCTTTCGCCACTTACAAGCTGTGTCTTAACCTCTCTCAGCTCAGTTTTCTCCCCCTGTAAAAGGGGGACAATAACCCCCGCCCCCGCAAAGAGATAAGTATACAACGTATGCAAGGTACCTGTTTGCACACTGCTGGCACAGATACCATACATACTTAATACTGAAAAATAAAATTTTGTGGCAATGAAAAGCTCTACGTGCAATAGTGCACATCTGTCAACCTCAAAATTAATATTTGGTTGTGACAGGAACCATCTCGGTAAGACTGCATACAGAAAGTCCCAAATGGCTATCTTCATTGTCAACAGTGCCGTAAATTGCTTTTAGAATGCAAATGTGACACATCAGAAAACCTACCTCTGTCCCCGCCAAAACAGCAGCTCAGATGCCCCGACTGCCCTACCTGAAGTGGGACTCCTATTCCTTCATCCAGCTTTATTTAGTCTTCATGTCCCTATATATTATCTGTGGGGTCTGTTTTGCTACTGTTTTATCACCAGGCCTAAACCAGTGGCTGCTGCACTCATATGTGTGTTGGATGGAGGAAGGACAGGCAGACAAGTGATGCCCCCTCTTCTCCCACTGGCTCTCCCCACCTTTCTCCTCCACTGCCTGAGTCCTGCAGATCGGGAGAGGCAGGGCTCCACATCCCAGATGTGTCTCTGCACGAAGAGCAAGTGGGCCCCCCGAGGCAAACACTTCTGCACTCCAGAGCCCATTAACCGATCCCACAGGCTGGCTGTATCACTCATGTCAGAGAAACCAAGAACACACTCCAGGAGCAACGACTCCAAAGTGGGACAGGTTAGATATCTTGTAGGCAGCTCTCCATATAAAGGAAATTTACAGGGAGACACTAGGGAGGTGACAATGACTGCTTAGGTTATTACACCTACAGAGGACCTTTGAAAAAACATACCAAACCCTAGGCAAAAAAGTGACTTGCCCAAACCCTTAGATGCACAGCTGGGGCTGGCTCCCCTGCAGCCGGAGTGCCATCCCGTCTTCTCCTCCCAAAGCCGCCACTAGAGCCAGCACGCACAAGTAGTTCTTATAATTAATTTGTTTTATACACACACACAAGTTTTTAATTACAAAAGCAAACCCCTCATCCCAGCTGTAATTTCCATGAAAGAAACAAAAGCAGGGTTTCCTACACTATGAACATACAGGTTTACTGACCAGTGAACAGAGAGTGCCCCCTGCTGGTTCCCAGTGGTTACACTGCCCCTAAAATGCCTAGATTTGGGGGCATCAGGTGAGAGGGAAAGTACTTCTCGGAAATGGCTTTAAAAGTTACTTTATTCCTTATGGAAGGAATATACAAACTTGGATATATTTAATTAAAACAGTTCAGTCTGCGTAGCACTGAGCGAAGGTCCTTGTGGTCCAAGGGCAAGTCCTGAACTTCCCACACAAGCTCTGGAGCAACAGGAGGCCGCCCTCGCCCTGCCTGCGGGGCTGCACACAGCCCAGGGTGGCCCTTGCGGGCTGGGGCTCTGGCTGGGCCTGTCCCTCCAGACCACGGGCTCAGTCTAAGCAAAAGGTGACTAGAGGGCTTCCCTGGTGGAGCAGTGGTTGAAAGTCCGCCTGCCGATGCAGGGGACACGGGTTCGTGCCCCGGTCCAGGAAGATCCCATGTGCCGCGGAGCGGCTGGGCCCGTGAGCCATGGCCGCTGAGCCTGCGCATCCGGAGCCTGTGCTCCGCGACGGGAGAGGCCACAACAGTGAGAGGCCCGCGTACCGTTTAAAAAAAAAAAAAAAAAAAAGTGACTAGACAGATAATGTCACATTTCAAATCCCTTGGCTCTGGTGGTGGGATTTTCACACTTCATCCGGACAAGATAAATATTTTGCAAAACAAAACCAAAGAGGGACTTATCTGAGAGTGGAGAGTATTTAGCCACACATATGAAAGGGTCTCCAGGAAAGCCCTCCCGTGTGTCACGTGGACACATCCGTGGGAACCGGGCACTAGGGAGCCGCTTGTATGTGCCTAGCAGCTGGGTGACTACGGCACTGAGGGAACCCAATCCTGGAAGGGCTCAGTATCAGCCTCAACCTGGTGCCTCATCAAGAAAAAAAAAAGGGGGGGGGGGGGGGGGGATATGCCAGCATGAGAGACCCTTCCAGCCCAAATAATTTCTCAAAGAGCCAGTGATGTTACTGAATCTCCAAAAACCAGTTAGTTTTCAGCTTCTGCAGTAGGAGATGAACTGTTACGTCTAAGTTCTCAGCTCAGTCACCCTGATTACCATATGGAACTGAGAAAATGCTTCTGTGCAAGTCACTGAACACGTGAGGACAACGGTAACGACCCCCCACCGCCATACCAGCTTCCCTCCCAGCTCCCAGGAGACAAAGCCAGAGCAGGGCCCAGGCAGGACGGCCGGAAGCAGGTGGTTACCTCTGCTCTGGGCTGCTGCTGGGGGGCCGGGGGGCTGCAGACTTCCCCTCTGCCGTCTCCAGGCTCTCCGCCACATCTTTACAAGCAGCATCTTGAGAGGTAGACAGTTTTCCTTCCTCACTGCAGTAAAGAGGACGACAGGCAGCGTTAGACGCCCGACGCGGCAGCACCGGGTGGAGGAGGAGGGCGCATGCACTTGGCTCTGGAAGTCATGGCGGCCATGGATCCAAGCCCCGGGGCTGAGCATGCTGGTGGGCGGGGGGGGGTCACAGGGACCACAGACACGACTGGGAAACCATGGAAGGGGAGGATCACACACAACTGGGAGCCGAAAGAGGGACCATGTAATGCAGCTGGTGTCTGGTAAAGAATGGTCCCCCATCACTGTACATACCGGTAGGATTTCAACACTCTGAAGCCAAGTGTGCAAAACAGAAAAAGAAATGTACAAGAGTTTCAGAATACTCCTATAAATGAGGTATTTGGGGGAATAATATGTCCACGACTGCACATAAGCAGAACTGCAGACTCGGTGAAGGTGTCAAAGGAACCTGTTTGAAGGAATGAGTCTTTAGTTCAAGATTTCTGCCTTCAGGGCCAATCCCCCACCAGCTTGCTGGCTGACGTCGCGTGAGCCACGCAGCCTGAGCCAGGGTGAGCTCCCGAGCTGTCCTCTGACTGCATGAGAAGGACAAACCATGAGGGAAAGAGAGCCAGGAACAGTGGCCAGAAAGGTAAAAACCGGTCCTGAGGGGTCACAGAGAGGATTGGGGAAACAAAACATGAAAGGATGATTTTCCCCTTAGATAGAGCTCTTGCAGAGAAAGACAAGGAGCAAATGCTGTCAACTGTCTGTGGGCGGGGAATTTAGACTTCTGCCTATCTTGTGTCTGGCATTCCCACTTTGACACAATTCAAGACGGCACTAAATTGAGCTTAAGGGCAGCTAAAGGTTCCCTTCGGGACAGTCCATCATTCTTAGTGTGGGGTCCTGTCCCAGATTTGCTTAGGAAAAACCTCACTTTAGGATGACTTCTCGGTGGCTTTCAGACGGGTCTGGCAACTTACAAGGAGGAAAGTGAACGGAAGTCTAGCTCATTACTCCTCCTAATTTATCCCCATTCTCCACTCCCTGCCCACCAAAGTAACTATCCTGATGTGTTCAATACATGTTACTTTCATTCTTGTGCGTGTATTCTGAGACACATCACTGGCCTGGAACCACACACCTCCCTGCATTTATCTCTGTACCAGCACAGTCTGGAGGGCCATCTTTTCCTGCTGCCTGTAGCACAGCATCCCACGGTGCACACCTCCCGTTCTACCGCGTTCTCACAGCGACCGGTGCCTCTGTGCACAGGGCTGCAACGCTGCCACTGCCTGCTGGGGCCCCGGTGGACCTGCTGGGACACTTCTCGGGGCTCTACACCCAGGAGTGGAAAATACTGGTCATCCTTCCAGCCAGCATGCCCACCAGCAGGGCGACAGGGCTCCTGTAGCCCCAGAGCCCCACCAATACTCAGCATTTCCCACCTTTCCAATTCCTGCCAGTCTAGTAAGAGGTGTCTGATATGAATGAGTTTTGAGTATCTCTTCTTAGTTTTGCCCCTTTGGGTTTCCTTGTCTGTAAACTGCCTAATGATATTTTTTGCCCATTTTCTGATTTGGGTTTTCTACATCTTTTCCTTACTGGTTTGAATATTAAATGTTAATTTCTGGCTGATTTACAGCTGTAAGCTTTCCCCCCCTCAATTTGCCACCTGCCTCTTAATTTTGTCTACAATACTTTATTAGCCAGAAATTCTTAAATTTGGTGTAATCCAATTCTATTCTTTGCATGAGGTTTATGCTTTTGGAGGTTGCTTTGTTTTGTTTTGAAAAAGAAGTCCTTTTCTGTCCACAGGTCAGGATACACTGCATTTTCTTCTAACTACCATGAGACTCTGGCCACATCACTTAACTCCAGTATATCATTTTCGTCATCTGGAAAGTGGGAGGATAGCCATGGTACTTATAGGGTCCTTGAAAGAAAGAAACGAGTTAACACGTGAAAAACATCTGGCACAGCGCCGGGCACACAGGAGGCGCTGCACGTGTGCTCTCACCCTTCGTGCTCAGGCTTCACTGGTTCCCTTAAAGTGAGCCCGCCTCCATCACCTGCTACGCCATCCGCCTTGGGACTGAGCTCTCTCTCACCACAGTGGCCCCTTTAACTATCTGTGTGCTAATATTACACTGTTTTAAGTATTTTGACTTTGCAGCATGACCAGTACTGCCAGGGTAAGTCTCTTATTTAACCTTTCTATGGCTCTCTAAGCAATCTGGGAAACTTTTTATTCCACATGAATTTTAGAATATGCTTATCAAGTGTCTTAAAAATCCAACTGAAATTGTGACTGGGACTGCACTAAACTTACAGATTAATTTGGTGATGGTGGGTGTCTCTGCAGTACTGAGCTGTCCCATCTCGTGATGGCCTTCACTTGTCCAGATCTTCTTCTGTGGCTTCTTTTATTAGCACTTTCGAGTTTTCTCTATAGATATCTGGGTTAAGATAATTCCTAAATAATTTATAGTTGGATGTATTTTGTGACTGGCACTTTCCTTTTTATTCTATATACAACCTAGTTGCTTATTACTGATGTAGAGAAAGGCTACTGATTTTTTAAATTGCTCTCTTACCTGGCAGCTTTGCTGAAATCTAACAAGTCTGCTACTGACCTAGTTGTAGTTGATCATTATCACCTGCAAATAATCAGTTTCATCACGTCCCAGCTCACCTTTACCTATACCTCTATTTCTTTTTCCTTTCTTCTTAACACTCCCCAGGACTGCCTATACAGTGGCAGTGACAATGGGCATCCCTATTTGCTCCTTCCATGAAAGTTAATGCAACTAAAATTTCTTCATTAAGTATACTTTTTGGTGTAGTGTTTTGGTATTTAGCTTTTACCAAGTTAAGGAAATTCATTTCTCTTCCTGATTTGCTCAGTGTTTTAATCATATATAGCTTTTTTCAAAAGCTTCATCAAAAACATCAAATGACCTTCTTTCACTCTATTAATATGCAGTGAATTACACTGACAGATTTCTTGATGGTGAACCATCCTTGCAGTCCAGGGATAAACTCTAACTGATCATTATGAATTATTTTTAGTATACTGTCGGGTTCAGTTAGCAAATATTTTATATAGGATGTTTGCATTTAATTTGCTTGCAAGTGACATAAGCTGATCATTTTCCGTAATTATCCTTATTTGTTTTGGAATTAAGATTTCACTGCCTCATAAAAAGATAAAGGCAGCTTTTGCACTTTTTCTATTTTCTGTAACAATTTAGATAGGAATTAATAGATTAACATGCATGGAGGGACTTCCCTGGCGTTCCCGTGGTTAAGACTGCGCTCCCACTGCAGGGGGCATGGGTTCCATCCCTATTTGGGGAACTAAGATCCCACATGCCTCATGGCACAGCCAAAACAACAAACAAACAAACAAAAATGCATGGAATAGCACTGAATCATTACTGTCACTGACGCGAGGCTGAGGCTGACCCGTTAGTCTGCTCCTTGTTTTCCTCCACCAGTAATGGCTTGTTTGTACTCTTTGTCAACTTAGAAAAGTTATTATTAGATTGTGTCTCTTCCTTTGATATTAGGTTCTTCCTATATCCTGCTACTGCATGTTTCTTTGCTGGTTACGGCTTGTCTTTTCATTTTATTGTGTCTTTTGGAATACCAGAAATTAAATAAAGTCAAATTTATTAAACTTTCCCCTTATGGTTTGGCTTTTTTATGGTTAAGAAATCCTTTACCATAAAGTTGTAAGATACTCTCTTATGCTGTCTTCTGAAAGTTGTACTTTTGCCTTTCATACTTATGTTGAGAGAGAGATTTAATTTTATTTTTCCCCAACATTGGATAATCACTATTTATTAGTCCCTTCCTTCCTCACCAGCTTATGTCACCCTAACACGTAAGTGTACGGGGTCTGTCTGTACAACTCTGTGCCTAGGTCACACGCATCATCTCAATAACAGTGAGTCTTGCTGCCTAATACCGTGAAGCCCCCTCACTTTACTCTCTTTAACATGATCTTGGCTATTCTTGACTCCCCTTGATCTTCTCTGGGACTCTCACAATCTGCTTCTCCCTTTCATAAAAACTCCACTGGGATTTTGATGAGAAATACGTTCATTTTATAGATTAATTTGTTACGAAATGCCAAAGATATCGTCCCATTAGCAAACATAGTATATCTCCCTATTTATTTAGGCCTTTGTTTTTTTTTCAGTCTTAGTTATAGACAGCGTTTAACTTTTCATTTAAAAAGGGGGAGGGACACATCTAAGACATCTTGTGTTGGCTTATAAGGTGCAATTGATTTGTGGGTTCATCCAGTAAACTTGTTAAACTTTCCTCATAATTCTAATATTTACCTATAGATTCCACTGGAATTTTTTATGTAGAAAATCATAACCTACAAACAAACAGTAACCATTTTATCTCTTTCATATCTGTTTTTATTTATGCTGCATGTGCTAAGACAAGCAGCACAGTGCTGAAGAGAAGCAGTCACTGCAGGGTTCGCTGTCTGGGTCATGTCTTTGAAGGGACTATTTCTTCAAAATAATGCTTCACCGTTAAGAATAAAGTCTGCTGTAGACTTTCAGTAGACACTTTTATCAGTAGCTATTTTCTATTCCTAGGTTGCTAAATAGTCACAAACAACTTTAATTTTTATCAAATGCTTTTCTGTCTACCGAAGGTCCAAAGGGTTTTTATCCTTTTATCTGTGAATTACCTTCAATAATCTTTACAATGTTATAACATCCTTACATTCATGCGATACATCCTTGGTCATGACTTAAAAACACATTGCTGGATTTGGTTTGCTAGCTTTTAACTTTAAAGTGCTCTACATATAGACCCACGCATGAAATTAGCCTACAACTATTTTTTCTTTCATGCTTTGCTTGACTTCATGAGTTGGGAAGCATTACTTCTCGTGATCTGAAAGGGTCTGTGTAAGATGGAGACCAGAGCTCTAAGCACTGGTTTAGTTGCAGTCTGTAGGTTTTTTTTGTTTTGTTTTTGTTTTGCGGTACGCGGGCCTCTGACTGTTGTGGCCTCTCCCGTTGTGGAGCACAGGCTCCGGACGTGCAGGCTCAGCGGCCATGGCTCACGGGCCCAGCCGCTCTGCGGCATGTGGGATCCTCCCGGACCGGGGCACGAACCCGTGTTCCCTGCATCGGCAGGCGGACTCTCAACCACTGCGCCACCAGGGAAGCCCAGTCTGTAGGTTTCGATAGAACTTTTTCATTACTCTTTCAGTTTTAAGTTTTTCATCTTCATTATGATTCCTTGTTGATCCATGAGTTTAGAAGTGAGGCTAATTTCCAAATATGTTTTTTTAAAGCTATCATTTTGCTACTGAATTCTGCTGACTGCATTATGTCTGGAGAAAATGATCTGTATAGTACCAAACCTTTGGCTTAGATGGTCCAAGCTTTGCAGCCTGCCTGTATCCAGTGCAATTCCTATCATGGCTAGAAATTGTCAGTTTTTTATACTCACGTATTTTGAATCCATCAGTGTTCTGAACCTACAGTCTTCTAAACACTATTAAAAGGGGAGGGGTGGGACTTCCCTGGCGGTCCAGTGGTAAAGAATCCTCCTTACAACGCAGGGGACGTGGATTCGATCCCTGGTCAGGGAAGATCCCACATGCCGCGGGGCAACTAAGCCCGTGTATCACAACTACGGAGCTCGCGTACCTCAACTAGAGCCCGCGTGCCGCAAACCACAGAGCTCGCGTGCCACAACTAGAGAGAGAAAACCACAGGCCACAACTAGAGAGGAGCCCGCGCGTCGCAACGAAAGATCCTGCGTGCCTCAATGAAGACTCAACGCAGCCATAAATAAGTAAATAAATAATCTTTAAAGAAAACGGGGGGGGGGGAGGAGGACCACTTAATGAACCAAACTCCATCTCTTTGTTAAGATTCGATGAATTTAACGGAGATATTAGAAAGGTGTCAGGCTAATGTCTGAACCCACATTTGAATCAAATTAAAGCTGTTAATATCTGCGGTCTCTGTCCCCTCTGCCTCCCCCGCCCCTCCAACAACCTGCAGCTGCCAGCACGCTGTAGCCCTGGTTACCTTTTGAAGACCGCGGTTTCTGTCTTGGCGTCCACAGTGAGGCTCAGAGTTTCCTTCACGCCGCCATTCATCACTGTCTCAGTTACCTTGTCTGTACTTTCTGCATCCTCCTCTCCATCAGAGCTGGCTTCCATGGCCACACTGCCTGGCGCTGAAAAGGACACACAGCTGAACGTCACGAACATCTGTGCAGACCCAGCCACCCAACGTTACCTCTACTGCTTGAAGAAGAATGAAAGTGACATGATCTGCCTGTTGCTGCCTCTTAGCGATGCCCACAGGAGAGAAGCTGCGTGGGTTCCCTGCAGCGTAGGACCGGTGAGTCCCCCCGTCTCCCCAGCTACCTGCACACCCAACTCTCTCCCAGTCAACTCTCCTGCCCCTCATGTTCTCCAGTTCCCAGCGCAGGACGGGTGGTCGTATATTCTACAACCACAACCCACCAGAACCCAGTTCATGGTTTACCCATGCACCCTTCTCATTCATCCTTCTCCTCTCACTTGTCCCACACTTGGGTCCTATTCTTTTCTTTTTTTAAAGTTACCTTTTTGTGGTTCCCTGTGGATTATTTCTTTGTTCTATAAGAGGGAGCCATGGGGTATACCGGTTATGAGTGTAGGCTCTGAAGTCAGACTTCCTGAATTCACACCCAGCCTTACCACCTTACCACTTACCAACCTCAGAGCCCAGGGCAAAGAACCCAACCTATGCCTGAGTTTTCTTATCCACAAAATGGGGGTATTTGAAGCCACCTGTAGAACCGCTATGGGACAAATTATGTCATCTATATATAGAATGTTTACAAAATACTAATTTCTGGGTTTATTAACTTCCTGCCCCTTGGGTCCTGTGCCCTCTACCTGTACCCTCATTTCCTTTCTAAGGACTGGCTTCTCTGTTTCCTCCACATACTATCCACGCCCACTCCTCGCCCCCTCACTAACCTCCGTGCTCTCCCCCCACCTCCCACGCCCCTCATCAGGTTGAAAATAGTTCAGGGCCTATGCAAGGAACAAGTGCATGTTTTGAAAAAGATAGCCACTGGATACCCTTGACCATTTCACCTATTCACAAAGGTGGGAAGGAAATAAACCACCACAGCGCCTGAAATGTGCCCAGACATACACATATGCACCAAGAAAGCAAACTCCAAGGGACGAAAGAGCTGGGTGCAAGATGGGTTTGGCGCACACATGACTAGTTCTGGTTTTATTCACCCTGGGTGCTGTAAGCTAGGCCATTCATCCTTTCTGGGCCTGTTTCCTTTCCTGTCTTGAGGGAACCGAATGACTGGTAACTTAGATCCCTACTGTTCTAGGATCAGCATGCTGTGGTTCTGGCAAACATACACAACTTCTTTTCCTCAACAGCCCTGCTCACATCAGACCCACCATCTCATTTTCCTGGGTCCTTGGAGCCCCTGAACTTTTTAAAAAACCTGCTTTGTGGACAAAGACAACTTTTCCGATCTAGAAAACTCAGCATAAGTTATAGTGTGAACCACCACCAAAGGAGTGGCCCACAGGCTGTGCCCCGGCGCTCTCTGCACCCACCTTCCGGCTGCACTGCCAGCGCAGCCACACTGGGCGCCAGCGGGCCCACTGGCTCCGTGCTGGTCTCCATTTCCACTGGAGAACTGCTCCTTAAAGAGTCTTTTGTACTTTTAGAAGAGAGAAAATTCAGAGGTTAGCAGTGGGAAACAGACATCGGTTATCATTATTCCCAAAAAACCTTTAAACATCAGTTGCAGTTCCACTGGGGGACACAGTTGGTTACAGACTCCAGTGAATGACACACAGATCTGAGCACAGACGGCGGCTGGGAGTAGCACGTGAGTGTGGGTGGGCCGATATTCTGCTCAATCAGCAGGGCAGTCACACACGGACTTCTCAGAGGTTTCTAAACAGTTTCAAAATGCCCCCAGCCCCTCATGGTCACATAATCACCAGGCTCCCAGGGCTGGCACATCAGTGCGTACGCTGTACAATATGAACTGTATCTACAGTGCCACTTTTACAAAAATCCTTATCACCTCAAGCCAAACTGCCTAGCGGGCGGGCCTGGCCCTCCTAATGATATTTAGTGAGAAAACACGGCCTGTGCATAAGGGCTTGTAAAGGTAAGCAAGATGCTCCAACAACATTCTCAAGTAACCAGAAAAGCAAGAGCTGGAAACCTGATTGTCCTGCACTGGAAGAGTCAGTGAAGTAATTCATCATATTTTGGAGATATTTTCCATAAATCTCACTTTTACCTCTGAATAACGGCTCGCTGCTATTATTAGAGGTGCTGTAAAGTCGCCTCTTTGGTTTGTCTGTAACGGTACATGCTAGTTCATAACAGTTTGTCTTCGTATCTTTTCCATTAGCAGTGACTGTTTAAAAACATCACTGGTTAGGATGGGGAAAGCAACGAAGTCTTTCAAATGGGGTGCTGGAGATTGATTGTTTTTCAGTAGATGAAATAAAACAACGTTAATCAAATCAAAGTAAGTCTAACAAGACATGAAGTCCATGGTTAATACTCAAATGCTGACAATATTATTCAGGAAAACTACAAAATGACAGGTTGCTATTACTGAGAATTACAGTTAACAAGATTGACAGCCATACCTGTCACACCCCTTAATTTACAGCACTAGACCAGCTACAAGCGAAATACAAGCTCGTATTATCTATTCAATTCAAGATATATTCTGCATTTTTCTGTAATATTCCACACTGAGGTGTCTGCCAGGAATTCTTTGGCTTCACCTTGTTCCCAAGCCTGTCCCGACACCTTCATCAGCACTGTGCTGACTTGCTGGCCATATCTCCCCAGCCTACTTTGTTATGATCTACCCCTTTCCCAGTTCATCCTGGATGAAAGGAGGAGGAGGACTGTTCTTCTTGTAACTCATAGCTGTGTCAATCCCTCCCCCTGCTGATGCTCTATCTTGTTTAAGGCACTATATTCAACTTGGAAAAAAATCAAGGTGACCAACAGTGTCAACAACACCCATGGCATCCTCGGTTCTCCTGTGGAAAGCTTTAGAGAGCTGGTGCACATGCTCACCTCAGGGAAGACGCGAACTCGGAAAAAGAAGCCCAGCCTGTCTCCTTAGTCGGCACTGGCTCCTCTGTGCTCCAGACGTCAGAGCCCACAGAGTCTAAGGGAGCACCGTGCGTTGTCTCCATGGGGACATCAAAGCTGGCTGACCAGCTGGGCGCTAAAAAGAGGGGAAGGATTTCATTTTGAGAACACCTCAGTAGTTTACTATGACACAAGTATTTTTCAAAAACAGATGTGCAATGATGAAAAGCCCACAGTTGTGGGCCAAGGGCACTCGAATACACCGTGGGTAGAAGCGGACATGGTACAGCCACTTGGAGGGCAGTTTGGTGACATCTACCCTATTATAAAACTGTGTGTTCCCTTTGATCCCTTGGCAATTCCTCTCTATGATTTTTTTCCAATAGAGATTATCACACAAGAATACAAAGCCACACATAAAAGAACACGTTGATGTTAATTTTTTAATTTTGACAAAGGTACCAAGGTTATATTAACATCGGGAGGAAGATGGGTGAAGGGTATACAGCCATTCCCTGACAACCTCTGCAACCTTTCTGTAAATCTAAAATTATTCCAAAATAAACAGTTTATTTTTTTTAAAGAAAAGCATGCCGGCTATTCAACTGCAGTAAACTGGAAACCTTAATGCTTCCCAGTCCACGACCGGCCACGCTCCACACTCATGCTTTCCACGGCCGCCCTGCCGTCTACTACCGTTAGCACAAACAACAGCAAGGCTTCCTGTGACATAATGAGGAATATGTGTTTGGTCTCTGCAACCTTTCTGTAAATCTAAAATTATTCCAAAATAAACAGTTTATTTTTTTTAAAGAAAAGCATGCCGGCTATTCAACTGCAGTAAACTGGAAACAACCTTAATGCTTCCCAGTCCACGACCGGCCACGCTCCACACTCATGCTTTCCACGGCCGCCCTGCAGTCTACTACCGTTAGCACAAACAACAGCAAGGCTTCCTGTGACATAATGAGGAATATGTGTTTGGTCTCTGACCACCCACCCCCCAAACCCTTGGAACCTCTGAAGTGACAGACGGGTGCTGATGAGATGACTGGCAGCTGGGGGCTCCTGGACAGCCGCAGGGTGGGGGCCGGCGAGGGGCAACCAGGTGGCGAGAGGGTTGGAACTTTCAGACCTAGCCCACCACCCCTTCCCCCAACCTTCCGGAAGGGCAGAGGGGCTGGAAGTCAAGTTAATCACTAATGATCAATGGCTTAATCGATCATGCCCACTTAACGAGGTCCCCATGAAAACCCAAACTGCTGAACTTCAGAGCTTCCGGGGTGGCGACAGGGGGTGGCACATCACAAACTCCATGGGGATAGAAGCTCCTGTGCTTGGGGCCCTTCTGGGCCTTGTCCTATTTACTTCTTCATCTGGCTGTCCATTTGTATCCTTTAAAATATCCTTTGTAATAAATTGGTAATAGTAGGTAAAGTGCTTCTCTGAATTCTATGAGCGGTTCTAGCAAATAATCAAACCCAAAGAGGTCCCTGGAACTCCCTATTTATAGCCAGTTGGTCAGAAGGACTGGCTGGGACGGGGCAGCTACCTGTGGGACTGAGCCCTTAACCTGTGTGGTCTGACTCTAAACCCACGTAGTCAGTGCCTGAACCGAGCTGCACAGGACACTCAGCTGGTGTGGAGAAATGGTCTGTGTGGGAAACTCACACATTTGGTGTCAGAAGTGAAGTTTTGAAAGTAGAGAGGAGTCTTTTTCTTCTTGACTCTCTAGGTCCTGCAGGCACAGGAGTGCGTTCAGAGGTGGGAGTGGCGGGACTGCAGGGGCGCTACTCCCTGTCTGTGCTGCTCCTCTCATGCTGCAGTTTGGGTCCAACCTGCCGGTCTCTGTTTAAATGTCGACACCTGAGATGTGTCCCTTCAGATGGAATCAGGTCTGTTTGTTTGCTCGCTCTCATCACACACCATGCTTTCCTTCACAGTAACTCAATGCTGAGTCCCCAAATCCTTGCTGGGACAAGCTGGGTGTGAGGACCACTGTTCTTTATCAGGGATGTTTTCTATCACAATTTGGAAGCTCCAGGTTGTAAGCAAGGAATGCTAGACTAGGGAATCTGCTAGCTATTTGGGGATTCTCCTCGAGACAAATGACCGAGAAGTACCTGTGTACAACAGAAGTGTACCAATTTTACAGACACACCACCTTACTGTGACTCTGGGCAAGTTATTTAACTCCCCTTAGCCTGGGTTTCCTCATTTGTTCAATTTGGATACGACCATCTGCTTAGTCCTGAGGGTTAAATGAGGGCCTGCTTCCTGCACTGCACTCTGTGTGTGTGCGGCTGGGCTCCACTGGCACCGAGAAGGGATGATACCTCAGTGTCTGAAAACCTCACCTGCAACCTTAGAAGGGTCAATCTGACAGGCATTTTTGCCTGCCCACCATATGCAAAGTTCTAGACTCATTCCATCCAAGTCAAAGTTCCACTTCATAACTAAATCAGGCTACACAAAAATGACTTTCCTGTTGTTATCATTCTGGGATATTCTTTCCCAGATTAGCTCCCCAGCATTAGTCTAACATTAAAAACTCAACAGTCCCGAAAACCACTGAAAGAAGCCACAGAGACTGCTGGGGATGGCGGAGGCTCTCCAAGTCAGGGGGGTGAAGCAGCTCAGAGCTCTAGGAGAGGAGCACCCCCCCATTCCCCGGCCCCACCTCGACCCCTGTGGACCTGTCAGTGCAAAGGAAGCCCTTCCCAAGGAGCAGAGTCAGGAGGGCTGAGACCTGTAAGGCCGCACCCCATCGAGTAAGGGTGAATGAGACCTTCATCCAGGATGCTCCCCCTCCATCTCTCCCTGTCCCCACACCCAGCTCCAGCATCACCATGACAGTGGTAGTGAGTCATACCAAGTGTGTGGTCTCTCTCCAAGTCACTTATCACCCACCCAGTGACCTCAAAGAACCACAGACTCTGAAATATTATTCAGCCTTAAAAAAGAAGAAAATCCTGCCATACGCTCCAACATGGATGACCCTGCAGGGCATCATGATAAGGGAAATACACCAGTCACAGAAGGACAAATACTCTGTGATTCCACTTAGATGAGGTCCCTAGAGGAGTCAAATTCACAGAGACAGAAGGTAGAATGGTGGCTGCCAGGGGCTGGGGCAGGGGGAATGGGGAGTGGTTATTTAATGGGTACAGCTTCAGCCCTGCAAGACAGAAAAGTTCTAGAGGATCTTCTGCACAATAATGTGAATATCCTCAACACTACTGAACCGTACACGTGAACACACACACTCTACAGCTAAAAGATCAGGGTCTCCAGCCTGTCTCTTTCTCGCTGCTGCCTGGCCCCTGTCCTGATCAGCCCTCGCCATTTCTCACATGTAATGGTGAGTCTCTTGGTTTTCCTGTCTCCAGTGTGCCCTTTCTAATCCAGCTCTCACGCTGCTGCCCACAGTGATCATCTCCAAACAGATCAAATACTGTAATTCTTAGTAAAACCCTCAGGAGGAGGATTACTGCCTTCAGGATAAAATTCTCCTCTGGCCTCTGGCCTCACCTCCACCACCTCACCCTTTTCTTGAGCTATATTAAACAGCTCTGCGCCTTCATATGAGTTGCCTTCTGTGCAAACTGACTGATCCCTACTTGTCTTTATTATGCATCCCATTCTCTGGGAGGTCTCTGCAGGTGCCTGGGGTGAGCCGGGCCGACCCTGAGCTCCCCCGGCCCGCCGTCCTCATCACACTGGACGGTAAACCTCTCCACTTCGTCAGTAGGTTCTAAGCTCCTGGCACACAGGAGGAACCTGATAAAGGCGCGCTGATTTGAACGGTATCACGTCCTCGTGAAGAAGGTGAGCTGGAAAAGGAGTGAGAGGACAGAGGATCTGTACTTCCTCTCTGGCTCTCCGTTTTCGGGTCTGTAACACGTGGGATTTGCTGGATTACTGCTAAACTCTGAGGTTACGAGGAGGTTGAACCTGACCTCCAGAGCTGGGTTTCAGCCTCTGGAACTGAGTCATAAAAGGCCTTCCTGGGTAACAGGAAGCCCTTTCAGCCTTGAGGAAAGCCCTAGTAGCAACCCGCATGGCTCTTTCACAAAAAAATTTGTCTGGACTCTTAGAAGTTAACAGTATTTTTATAATGCCAGCTAACACAAGTCTTCTTAGCAAGCAGCAAAACATAAATAAGCACTTAGCTGGACAAGTTTTAGGATTACAGGGTTCATAAACAAACCGTGGAGAACCCATTTAAAACTGTTCGAGCTTTAAGGTGTTTCCTCTGGTTTAAGTGCACTCCTCATTCTACAGATCAGTCTTTCCTCATCTTTCCAGAATCTACGGCCTTTCCCCTTTTGCTTTGGTACCCAGTCTCTGTAGCCAGAGGATGGACCTACCAGTGTGCTCTATCCTCTAGCCAGACTCACACAGAAGGTTTCCAAACCGTAAAGAGATGCTCTCCCATCAAAGGTGTAACTTGCTCCTTCCCTTAGGCCCGGTCCTTGAGACTTAAACCTTCAAGGGGACTCAAATGACAACATGTGCTTCAACTTAACCATTCCTTCAGAAGACATCTCAGATACTGTAGGCTATCTCCAACACACAGCGGCTGATACGGAAGAAGGCAACTTACGTTCATTCAGGTCTACCTCCATTTTATCCTCTGTGTTGGCGCTACTGGATTCAAACAAGTCTTGTTTTGCTCCATCTTCTTCTTCAGAGTCTGTACTTTCCTCACTGTCTGTACTCCCCGAGCTAAGGAAAAAAGGACCAAAATATTTAATGTTGCCTGTCGGCCACCAACTAAATCCAAAGAATTCAAAAGTCCTCCAACAACAAAAAGATCGTACTGCACTTCACCTGGATCCAATCTGCCCGTCATTCTGTTAAGACTGATCCTACTCTGGGTCTCCCGCTGTTCTCCCACTTGGGCTTTGCTTGAAGACACAGATCATAATCTAAACAACTGCATTGTTTGGAGGGTGCGTGGAGGTGTCCCCTGGTGGCGTGAATCTGCATTTCCCTAATTACCAAGGATGCTGAGCTTCTTCTCAAGTGCTCATCTTCTTTTCTCAAGTGTTCTTTTCACATCTTTAGCCTATTTTAAAAATCGGGTTGTCTTTTTTATTACTATAGAGTTACGAGAGTTCTTTATATGCTCTACACAGAAGTCTTTTATCAGATATATGATTTGCAAATGTTTTCTCTTGGGTGTATGCTTTGTCTTTTCATTCTCTTAATATTAAGTGTCTTTTGAAGAACAGAAGTGTTTAATTTTGATAAAGTTTAACTTACCAAAATTTTCTTTCATGTACAGCACTTTTGGTGTTGTATCTTAGAAATCTTTGCCTAACCCAAGGTCACAAAGATTTTCCAGCATTAAGTTTTCTGGTTTTATGTCTTACACTTAGGCCTAAGATCCATTTTGGGTTAATGTGTATATACAGTAAGAGGTATGGACTAAGTTCATTTTTTTACATATAGATGTCCAACTGTTCCAGCACTATGTCTTCCAAAGACTATCCTTTTTCCACTGATCTGCTTTTGCACCTCCACCATGAATCAGATGTCTGCATATGTGTGCAGGTCTACTTACGGGTTCTCTGTTCTGTCCCCCTGATCTATTCCCTGTCTTAATTACTGTACCTTGAAGTCAGGTAGTGTTAATACTCTAATGCTGTTCTTAATGAAAGTTGTTTTGGTTATTCTAGGTCCTTTGCATTTTCATATGAATTTAAAAATCAACTTGTCAACAGCTACCAAAAAAACCTGCTATGATTTTGTTTGGACTGTACTGAATCTAGATCAATCTGGGGAGAACTGGCATCTTAACAGTATTAGGTCTTCCAATTCTTCAAGATTTATCAAGTCTTGATTTCTCTCAGCTGTTCTATAATTTTCACTGTATGGCCCTTGCACGGCTTTTGTCAGATTTACCCCTATATATTTAATATTTTGATGCTACTGTGAATAGTACTGTTTAGTAATTTTAATTCTAATTGTTGGCTGCAGTATGTAAAAATACAATTATATTGATCCAAGATTGTGCAATCTTGCTAAACCCACTTTATTGTTCTAGTAGTCTTTTCGTAGATTACAACACATTTTCTACATAGATAGTAACATTGTCTATGAACAAAGGTAATTTTACCTTTCCCTTTCCAATCTAGAAACCATTTATTTCTTTTTCTTGACTTACTGCACTGGCTAGAACCTCCAGCACAATATTGAAAAGCAGTGGTAAGAACAGATATCCTTGTTTTGTTCCTGACCTTGGGGGGAAATCATTCAGTCTTTTACCATTAAGTATGATGCTCACTGTAGGTTGACTGAAGAAGCTTTAAACAAGTTGAAGAAATTCTCTTCTATCTCCAGTTTGCTGAGCATTCCTATCAGGAATAGATGTTGGATTCAGCCACATGCCTTCTGAATGATTTTCAAATGTTAAACCAACTCTGCATTGCTGGAATCAACCTTGCATGGTCATGACGTATCGTTGCATTTATTTGCTATAATTTTTAAAGGAGTTTCTGTACCTATGTTCATGAGAATAATAGGTCACTTTTCTTTTCACATCGTGTAATGCAATGCCAGCTTTTGGTATCAAGTTACAATGATGTGGCTTCATAGCATGAGATGGGTACTATTCCCTCCTTTTGAATTTTCTGGAAGCTTTTGTACAAACTGGTGTTATTTCTTCCTGAAATGTTTGGTAGAATTCACCAAAGAGAAACCATCTGGACCTTGAGTTTTTCTGTGTGTATGTGGGAAGTTTTATACTAAAAATTCAACTTCTTTGATACAGGACAACTCGGGTCATCGTTTTTTGCTTGAGATTTGGTAGTTTGTGTCTTTCAAAGATCATCTAAGTTGTCAGATTTATTGGCATAGAGTTGCTCCTAATATTCCTTATTACCCTTTTAGTATCTGTAGAATCTGTAGTGATGTCATCTCTCTTGTTCCTGATATTAATAATGTGTATCTTCTCTTTTTTCCTTGACCATTCTGTCTAGACGTATATCAGTTTTATTAATCTTCTCAAAGAACAACTTTTAGTCATGACTCATTGATTACAATGATTTTCCCTACTGTTTTTCTGTTTTGTATTTCTAGTCATTTCTTAAGGTGGAAGTTGAGGTCACTGATTTGACATGTTTCTTCTTTTTTAATGTAAGCAGTTAGTACTAAAAATGATCCTTTAAGTACTGTTGCAGTTGCAAGGTCCAAATCCTGATATACTGTATTTTCATTTTCTTTCAATTCAAAGTACTGTGCAACTTCCCCTGTGATTTTTTAAATGTTTCTTTTTGGTTAAGATTGATTGATTATTTATTCATTTATTTAATTTATTTATTTTTGGCTGCATTGGGTCTTAGTTGCAGCACATGGGATATTCGTTGAGGTATGCAGGCTCTTTGCTGCGGCATGTGGGCTTCTCTCTAGTTGTGGTGTGCAGGCTCCAGGGCATGTGGGCTCTGTTGTTGTGGCGTGTGGGGTTCCAGAGCACATGGGCTCTGTAGTTTGCGGTAGGCAGGCTCTCTAGCTGAGGTGCATGAGCTCAGTAGGTGTGGCGTACAGGCTTAGTTGCCCCGTGGCATGTGGGATCTTAGTTTCCTGACCAGGGATCGAACCCGCGTCCCCTGCATTGTAAAGCAGATTCTTTACCACCGGACCACCAGGGAAGTCCCTCCCCTGTGATTTTTTTCTTTAACTCATGTGTTATTTGTTTCCACATATTTGGAGATTTTCTAGAGATCTGTTACTGATTTCTAATTTAATTCCATTGGGGTCAGACAGTGTATTTTGTATGACTTGAAACCTTTTTACTGAGACTTGCTTTATGGCCCAAATATGATCTCTCTTGGGAAATATTTCATGTATACTTGAATATATTTACTGGGAGAGGTGTACTGAAATATCTGAATATAATTGTGGAATCTGCCTATTTCTCTTCACAGTTCTATCAGTTTTTGCTCTATTCTGAAGCCCTGTTATTAGATATGTAGACATTTACAACTGGCATTATGTCCTTCTAATAACCCCTTTATGACCTTTCCTTTATCCTTTTCCTTTGAAATCTACTTTAATATTAATATAGATCCCTCTACCTTTAATTTTAACCTGTTTAAAGTTTTTTTTTAATTTAAGTTTTTAAATAATTTAAGTTATTTCCCATCTGCAGCATAAATCAGGCTTTTTTTTTTGGCGGTACGCGGGCCTCTCACTGTTGTGACCTCTCCCGCTGCGGAGCACAGGCTCCAGACGCACAGGCTCAGCGGCCACGGCTCACGGGCCCAGCCGCTCCGCGGCATGTGGGATCTTCCCGGACCGGGGCACGGACCCGTGTCCCCTGCATCGGCAGGCGGACTCTCAACCACTGTGCCACCAGGGAAGCCCAGGCCTTATTTTTTTATCCAGTCTGACAAGCTCTGCATTGTAACTGGGGTTTTTGGATAGAGTGAATTTTAAAAATGAGGGGGAGAGGGGAGAGACTGGGTTGATCCCAGTGGGTATCAAATGACATGACTCTGTCTCCCCAAGTTAAATTAACTTTTAGAAACAACTTTTCCCTTCCCCGGGGAAACTTTCAGTCTTTTGTAAGAAACAACACGTAACTCAGCTGCTGCTCTTGTTACTGGTAAGGGGACGTTTACTCAAAGCACGAGATGACTACATCCCTCAGCATCCCTGCCCGATAAGAACTGGCTGCGTCACAACATCTCATGAACGATGTCTACACACTTCGAGCATTTTCAAGTAGATTACCTTGATTTGTTTACACTGCAGACAAGTGCAGTGGCACAATTTACACCAATTTACAAGGGCATTTCTGATCATGACAAAAGCACTGATCTCTAGGTCAAACATATATGTTTGGAGAGGTTACAATGTACGTCTCCTAATAATCATTTGCTTTATGCACTGGATACTATTACTACTATAACGAACTTTTTTTCACCTTGACCGTCTTTGGGATTCTGGTGTAAATGCAATGTGTTTTTCCTCCCAGATATCTTCCTCATCAGAGCCACCATCATCAAACTGCTGTATTCTTTCCTTACAACATGCTTCAAACAAGGCAATATTTCCCTACATAAAAATGAGAGAGAGAAAATCAATTTTAAAATCAAGTTATTTTCCGCAAAAGTTACCAATGTAAATCATCTTCTTCTATACCCTTTAAAAAAAAACTGTGTCTATCACATACACCAAGATAAAATGTAAGCAACTAATGTCAGCTTCTGTGTAAGTAGCAACAGAAAGTTCCCCCCAAAAGACTGGCTTCAAAACTAGCATACAAGAAACTGAGACTGTCTACATATACTCACTTTCATCTGGTGAAAGCACCATTTTAATTCTAAGAGCCTCCCTGGCCCACCTACCTAAGATGCAGCCCAGACCTACCCTAACACAAAGAGCTCTTCTTTTACCGGGCCAGCTAAGCAGTGATGAGTGTCATGGTCCAGTTGGTTAGTTTCTAACTTATCACAACAGCAGATAAACCACTGGTCTCTCATGTTAAGTGACATAAAAATCAACATTGTGCCCATTCAAATGACACTAATCCTGTGTCAATCTACTGATGTGGTTGACTTGGCGTTTCAGAGCCGCCTAGCGATGAGAGGCTGGCCCTGATCTAGCCCAAGTTTCGCTCCTGGTGACATGCAGCAGATGTAAGAGGCAGCAGGCTGGAGTCAAACAGCAGTCTTTGGAGCTCAATATCTACACTGGTTTTATTAGCCCTGTCACATCTTAAACCAGGGTTGCAAATTCACATGCCCACAGGGGCCAGGCAGGTCATGTGAGTGGCTGAAGTCACAGCAATCTGAGACAAAGCTTCCTAGGGCGTAGGGGTCCCAGTGCACACAGCTCTTGCAGGCAGGCTCTGAGAGAACCCCATTCCCACTTGTCCATCTCACGTATGCCTTGTTACTCGCGACAGGCCTTAATACTTACACTTTCATTTGTGTTGAGAGTGAAGTTGATGTCTGATACCCGATCAAAAGAAACACTGTAAACAAAATGTAAGTGCAAGAATAGTTAATTATCTATAGACTCAGAAACAGTATTTGTGAAATTCTCCAAATTTAAAATATTTACACTATCATTAAAATCTCTGTTAAGTAACAACAAACTCTGCTTGCATTAAATGATACCTCCTCCCTTGGTATACGGAATTTACACAGGATGGGAAGGCTGGAATGGAAGCCTCTTGCGACATAATAAACGCACCCTCGAAGCCTTCCTATAAAAGATTTTTAACATCCATGGTAGAAACCATGGTTCCATGGGCCATACTTCATAACCCCAAAAAGGTTATTTGCAAAGAAGAAATAGGTCAAAGCACAAAAAAGGTCACAGAAGCTGTCAGACCCCGAACTTTCTCCAGGCAGAGTCAAATTCATACATAAAACACAGATACCCCTGAAATCTTATGCTATAATATGGCATCGTTAGGAAGAAAGTAGGGAGTAAAAGAATTCAGAGCCTATTAAACAATTTTTGAGTAGGTGGGACTATTTTATAATCCTTAAAAGATCTGTTCTCATCAAACATTATTCCAAATACCCAATACAAATTCTAAAGAGACTATGGATTCCTAACTAGTAACTTTTTTTTTTTTTTTTTTTGCGGTACGCGGGCCTCTCACTGTCGTGGTCCCTCCTGCCGCGGAGCACAGGCCCTGGACGCGCAGGCCCAGCAGCCACAGCCCACGGGCTCAGCCGCTCCGCAGCATGCGGGATCCTCCTGGACCAGGGCACGAACCCGTGTCCCCTGCACCGGCAGGTGGACTCTCAACCGCTGCGCCACCAGGGAAGTCCCTAACTAGTAGCTCTTAATAAATGAGTCCAGACAGACAAATGCTGAGATGCCACATGGGGGAGCCTGCGGGCTCTGGGGTGAGCGCTCCTGGGGCACAGACACAAACATCGAGTCCTTGCTCTTTCTGGATTTCAATGAGCGGGTGCTTAGGGCAGCTGACAGCCTTCAACTACTGCTCTGCTTACAGTGGAGCCTCCAGGCCCCTGTGCAACACAGCATGTTGTTTGGCACAATTAGAGTGTGATGGAAAAAGTCTTTTAGCTTCTCACCTGCCATAAACTGCAACTTATGACAAACAACAGCCTCCACTGGCTGTAGTTCAACCAACTACTGAGCATCTACTGCTAGTGGGGAACCCTGAGAGATGCTGGGTGTTGGTGACCATCATCAGGGAGCCCCTGTGAGAGAGAACTTGGCTGGTGAGCTGTAACACCCCTCTTGTAAATACTTCATTTATAAATACCTCTCATTTCCCAAGGTCAGATGCTAGAACATTTGTTTTCATTTCTGTGGATGGCCCACACATCTTCTATCCATTAATTCTGCACATTACCAATAATCCCCATTTCTATGCTCCTCTTTCCCTGACTGCAGAATGAATGAACTTACGGCCTGGCTCTCGGGCGGAAAAGCCCCAACTCTGCCTTCTGGTTAGTCAGCTAGAGAAAATACACAGGGGGTAGAGCTGCTCAGCCATAATATGACACCCCATTCACTGTGTGCTGTAAAAGAACCATACCTGCTCAGGCCAGGTAACTAGGTAACTGACATAGGGATTAACTACTTTAGATGATGTGATCTAGCACTAAAACCTCAAAGAGGAGAACAATGACTTGAGTTCCTACACCTAATACAAATAAACCTCTGTGAAAGATGTCAAGCCCAAGGGCAAGCCTGCTCTGTGGGAGTGACATTCTATTCCTACATGTTGTCTGGGTGCTTCAGGCTGATAGGCTGGAACTAAAGGAACACTTGGAGGGCAGGTTCCTCCCAACTCACGAATGCAAAAGGGTTCCAAGAATCCAGGAGAACCAGAACATCTCACAAAGAGCAGGAGTGTAGGAGACAGTTATGCAAACAGAAGACATACTCACTTGCCAATGTCATCTTGATCTGCAAACTTCTCATCGTTGAAGCCAAACTGGTCAATAAAATTGGACGTCATTTGTTGCATCTGATAATCAGAAAAGGCCTGGCAACCCCAGGACCAGTGACAGTGATATAATGATTCTAATGACATTCTACATACTATTTGCTCATTTGTTTTCCAGAAATCATCTTATTTATATAGCCATAGGGCCTAAAAAGTTGGTGTGTTTTTCTAAAAAAAAAAAAAATCAAATAATTTCAGACACGATTTACCCCAAAAAGGAAATGTTTGGAATTTGGTCCATAAATTATTCTAATGCACATGTCATGTAAGAAATGTTAAGTGACCACTGACCTCTATTCCAAATTATCTTTAGAGAGAGGTTTGGTCTAGTTCAAAAGCGTGATCAAGTGACATGTGACAGTCTGAAATTATAAGGTGTATCAGTCACCTCTGAACACAACCAACCTTATCTTAAGATCCAACCAATGGTAACCACCCACCCTCCCTCTTTGCATCTCCCCACCCACAGTCCACTACAGCAACATGGCACCAGAGGAGAAATGACTAATGATCACAATCACAATCCTACAGCACGATGTTCAGGGACACTTCATTTTCTTACAAAAAAGATTTAAGGCTCAGAGGCTAGGAAGAGTAGAAAAGTAACTACTATCCTACCTGCCTTAGAGAGAGGACAGAAAGTTATAACACTGATCCAAAATCACTCTGAAAAGCCTACAACACTGAAAGACCCATGCAGGAGTCGGCTCTTGTTTACTACACCGTTTCTAGAGAGCACCAGGCTCACTTGGGTTCTCTTAGGCAAGAAAGGGGGAATGTTAAAACGGACTCCACAAAAATGTTGCTATTCTAATTTCAAACAACAAGCAGGCCCGGGGGAACAAGCGAGGTCAGCAAACATGTTCCATGTTCTCAATCAGGAGTAAAGAACAGATGAAGATATGCAAGTGCCACTCCTCACTCTGCCCCGAGCAATAAATATGGAGACAAATAACGTGCGTGCTGCCCACGGACAGAGCTGTGTACGGACCTCACGGAGGCACAAGCAGCAGCTGGCAGCTGAACTAAAAGCGTCGCTCCTGAGGCCACTACTGGGAAGGCCAAGTTCTCCTCGGTTCTCCATCTGAGCAGAGCCCACGGACTCTACCATGCAGACAAACACTGCAGAAATGCCTCTGCCGTTAATTCCTGATTATTCGTTCTGGTGGCAGGGAATTATGGCATGGATAATCCAAATAGTGGATAATTTAAAAATAAACCTTATATTTGGCTTTGGAAGGCATCTTTTCCTTAGGTCTAAAAAATGCTGCATCTAGTTTACCGAGAACCTAAAACCTCACTTTTCTCTACCTCGATACCCACCACCCCTCTGTTCACTCTCACACTTTCCCGCTGCTCCCTTCCTTGCCCAAAGAGACAATACTACATGAGCACTTGGGGCCAGCCCCCCAGGGGTGCATTTGGTAAGGCACACCAAAGCTGTGGGAGTTCGGGTGAAAGCAGAACGGTAGGGACAAGTTCTGGGAGGCTGGGCTGAGTTTTGGACATACGAATATAAAATATCGTAAGTAGGAAGAAACCAACTTGTCTGAATTGCTTTATCTTTTATAAGGTATGACGCATGGTTGGTAGCTTCAAAGGTGTGGCAAAGAATCACGAAGTCCTTCTTCCGAGCAAGCAGTATAAGCCAGGCTCTGAGTTTATTGACAGATTAGAAATTTGGCTGCACAAGGGGAAAAGGTCCTTTTCAACTGTTTTGATTCTTTTTTTTTTTCTTTTTCTTTAAATGTTTTATACTTCTAGAGATCATACTGTAAATCTTTTGGGTGTAAAAGGGAAGAAATATTCCCAAAAGTATTCCTTTAAATGCTTCATAATACTTTAAATGCTTCATAACAGAATGCAAATACTAAGTGTATTATAAATACATGTGTGAATGCATACCTGTACAAACATATAGATACATATACAGATACACATAAACATGCACACACATATTTGCATTGTCTCTCTTCATCTATGGAGGGAGATATATAGCTGCTGACAGACACAGCCTCCACGTAGTAACGCAGAGGAAAAGAAAACCAACAAACCGTAGTCCTCATTAGCTCTGAGTCTACTGTAGCTTCTAGGAAGATAAAGCCAGCAAAGAACTTAGGTCTCAAGGCTGACTTTGACTAATAAAGCCATCGAGGCTTACTAAACCCACGTAAGTGAGGGCTGCTACTGTACTCTACTGGAGCTTAGAAAAGTGTTCTGGACGCTAGAAACCCAAATCTGGAAAGCACCAGACAGTTGTGTGATTATTAAAAACTTTTAATTATGCAAAAAAGGGAAAAAAAGAAAAACCCACGTCTCAGAACTGTCATCCTGGCCAAAGCCAGGGACTGTTCAAGTCACTGAGAAGGGAGCCCACCGCTTTCTTAAGTAAATCTCTTGGGTGGACCCACCTGGGCAACAGAAAGTCCCCGTCCACAGACCTGACGGCCTATGAACAAGCCTGTCGAGGACGGGGGCAGTGGGAGTGGTGTCCATCCTTGGCAGCCAGCCCTAGTTCTTCAGACACCACACGAGGAAGACCTCCTCACCCTTTACCCTGTGAGGCAGCCTTAGGAGGAGGAAGAGTCAAGCTCCAGAGGTGAGGAAACCAGAAGGGGCACCAAAGCTGTGAGCACGCCCCGAGCCAAGTATGGCCCCCCGCCAAGTCTGTTAAGTGAGCTGCCCTAAGCTCTCTGTACTCGAGCATTAGCAACAGACCTAGCTTTAAATGTGAATGAGAACCTCAAATTGATATATATAAACTGATTTGATTATAAAGGAGACCAGCATGAAAGTCTTACATTAACCTAGATTTGTATTCTTAAATTCAGAAAAAAATGCTTTGGAGTATGTTTATTTTCAAAATGATCCATGAGTGGTGTACAGTTTAAACATGCAAAGAAAAGTTTACTGGAAGGCTGTCAATCAGAAAAGAGTAATTATTCTTCCTCCTTTTAGAGGGTTACATGAAGTGGATAAAACCCACAGGTACAGCAGCCTGGTGTTAAGGCAGTTTGGTGACTGGGCTTGCTTTATATGCACATCAGCAGTCAAAGCAAAAAAATGTTAGAAAATTCTCCCCAGGAAAGCTATGACCCTGTAACCAGATTTCAAGAGATGTAAGGGAATCCACTTTCCTGGTACCAAAATGTCACCAGTACCCGATTAAATCAGTTGCCCGGAAGTTCCGAGTTTATTAGCTTATTTACAAATAGATGTTTAAGGGCATTCTTTTTCTTAAAGCTACTCGCCAGATCAAAATCATCTTGAAAATGTACACTGTACACCATCAATTTTCTTTGTAGGGGTGGAGCAATCTGTAGCACTGGGGTTCAGACCAGGACGAGGGGACTAATTCAATACTGCCCAGGCGCTCCAGGGTCGGGCAAGGATTGCTCAAAGGCATGAGGGCTCACAGTGAGCCAGCTGGGCCTACAGGGTGGCCACTGCTGCCGGACAGCAAGCCAAGGTGAGAGGTGGCAATGAGGCCCTGCTGCTTGACAGCTCCCGCCCCTCTCCTAGGGAGGCTGGCTTCCAAAGGGAAGTGTCAAGAATCAAGAGAAGCCTGCCAGCCACCAAAATGCTACCTCAGGCCTAGCCTGAAAACATGAATGTTAAATTGCCTTAGTACCAAACCAAGAGACTGCTTAGCTCAACCTACACCAGAGTGTGTCAGTCTACCTGGACACCGAAAGGCAAGGCCAGCGTAAGCATAAGAAGCTTCAGCCTGGCCTTGGTAGAAGGGGCTTAACGAGGGAGAAGAAAGAAGCTAAGCAACATTCAGTGCCAGGTGGGAAGGTGACTACGTCAATCCCATTGCCACACCAAATCAACTGACAGGCCAAGCCCTGGTCCTGACTAAGGGCAACTTCTTCATACGAAGAGCCGATAACTTTCAAAGGGGCTTCTCTATTTAGCTCCCAAACCTGATGCCCAGTGGAGATAGTGAAATCATTCCTCGCCTCCCCAAGAACCACCAGTGGATGATAGATCAGCGCATTTATTTCTATATCCTGCTCTCTGCCCCACCAAGATTACCAGCAGCTGATAAAAGCGATGAATTTGGGAGCAGGAGGACAGGGTGGCAATGAATTACTTCAATTACAACTTCACTTAGATGTCACTACACAATTTGAAGATATTGGAAACACGTAAGCCATCTGGGGTTCAGGGATATTGTGAAAGTTACTTTCACTGACGTTGAACAAGTCTTCGTGCTCTTATCCACAGACCTCTACTGCAGGAACTGTCTACTGTGCAGGTCTGCGTAATGAGCATGTCTGAGGCGCTTACTGAACTGTTCAGTTCATTCAATCTCCTGAAAATTTACCGGACTCATCATTATTATCAGATCTGAAGAAACATTCCCTGCAATTACAATCAACATAAGCCTTCCTCTCATGTACCCAACGCTTCCTCTTTTAAATGTCTTTGCCTAGCTAGCAGGTTAACCCCAAGTCACAACCTAATGCATGTCTCACTCCAACGCTGATTCACAAATGGCAACTAAACTAAGCATTTAAAATAAAACAAAAAGCAAAACTTTAGGCATGACTCACTTGCTGCAAAGAAGAATCCTGTGAGAAACCCGTTTCTTTAAAGTCAATTTCATCATCACTGGATGAATGAATATGGCAGGTTGTAACCTATATGCATAGAAATGTAAAAAACTATTTAACAGAGAAAAGTTTTGGACAATTGTATCAGCATTTTTACGGAAAAATCACATTTAGTTTTTCTCTTAATGTGTTAACAACAGCAGGAACAAAAATAAGTAACAGCTAAGTTGTAAAATCCACCCAATAATTCAAGGGTACACTTCACTCAACCGGATGGTTTGGCTACCGGTCCTGCTGCTGCCCACCTGTGGTTACTTCACTCATGATTAACAGCACCAGAAAGCATGTGAGAGCTGTGGTACTCCATTTAAGTGATTTTGGTAAAAGGGAAGGAAGAAGTTAATGGCTCAGATAAAATATAGAAATAATTAAATATGCCAAGCCTGAAGGGTAAAGTTGCAATTCCCAGGGATCACTAAT